ACTACATTATAATCTGTACAAAAAATGCGTAACAAGATTGTTTTAAAGATCAATGTTATTGCACTGAAAACTAATGCCTTGGTCAATAACACCTGCAACTTACGTGTATTTACAACTAACGAGTGAAACCAATATTCATCCTGAATATTGACTGAACGGCCTATAAAAATGTGGCTTTGAGATTTTTTATTCACATCTTTTGACAAGACGACGGGAAACGGCTCTTCACTTTCTGAGTTGTAGACTTCTCCATCAACTTCCCTGGTGGCCATTTTCAGACGTTCTCTGATGACTCTGCTGTGGTTGGTTTCATCGCAGAACACAGAACTTTGTGGACTGGTGCCAGCAGATAAACTCTGCTAAAACCAAGGAACTGGTGATCCACCAAACCGGCACCAGACGGTGAGACAATACATATGTAAAAAAATAAATAAAATAGTGCCGGTTTGGTGTATATATATATATATATAAATTAACATATCCAGATGCATCTATCCAGATGCACATTACTTATTTGAACATTACTAATTTGAATATGGTATTTCTTAATAACCGCACATGTAAATTTCTCCTCTTTTATTCTTATATTTATATATTTCTACTTTTGTGAGCATATACATGGTTCTACTTGCATAAACTTGCTGCTTTTGACACCTGCCTTTTCCCACTGTGAATATTCTATTCTATTCTATTCTATTCTATTCTATTCTATTCTATTCTATTCTATTCTATTCTATCACTGGGACTTGTTTGCCAACTATAGACAGACTGAGAGTGAGACATTATGTTGATAACTTGCTCAAGGTCAGTAGGAACCAATTGTTTTTCTCAAAATTTGTTAAACTTATATTACAGATAAAATTCGTAACATATTGAGTGGGAGTGAAAATAACAGCCAGGTCAAATTCTGTAAAGGAATGCTACGTATCCTATATTTGCTTTCATGCACTCTTCACACTACCGATAGTTATGATCACAGGAAACCCTGTTAGCACTGTAGTCCCAAAGCAGGAATGCAAACACCCGACGAGCTCTTCCAAGAATCCCCCAGTTGAGGACTTTTCTGGAATGTCCTAACAAGCCTTCCCTGCCGCGTTTACAGTTTCATACCAATGGCAACCCTGCAATCTGTCTTGCCAGCATGTCATTATCTGGACTTCTCAAAAGGAAACACAGGGGAGCAACTGGATGAGATTTCTCCTCTATAAACAGGTTCAGGCTATTTGAAAGCTGACCATGCGACTCTATGCAGAGTAAGAAACGGAGATAAAATCCGGCCACTGCTACTGCTGTAATTGGGTTTTGTTTACATTGCTACCCATCACTTTAAATCAGGAAGATGTTTGTTGAAGTAAATAATTTAGTTTTTCACACCCAACTAGACACAGTATTCTGATCAACTTCAGTGAGTTCTGAAAGAAAAATAAGATCTCAGACATTACTGACTTCGGACCGCTCGCTCTTATATAACCCAGGAATGTTGGCACCAGACCATCTCACTAAATCATGCAGAGGAGCAAAGGTTCAGAAAAAAAAAAAAAGCAACATTCATTTCAATCCCACAGGCGTCCAGCGAAGTCTTACAGTGCTTCTAAAGTTTATGTAAACAAGCATTTTCTAAATCATGGCAACAAGGAATTTATTTGTGTTGAAAACAAATTTCAAAGATGGATTTATCTGAAAGTCATAGAAGCCTCCCTGAGAACAATAAGTCAGCGTTTGACTCATTTCTGGTTGAATGAGCATGTTCGCTATTCAGACATTTACAACTCATTTCGATCCAAGTAAGGAAAACGGTACATGCTCTACATATTCAAGTACTCCTACATTCAAGCATTATGGGTCATTTGCTTTCACACGCATATTTAAATTTGAGCAACATCACATTCTCAGTATGATGCAACCTATACAACTATAACAGCCTCAAAACTATATGAGGTATCTATACCTTTCTCACCTGTTCACCTGCATTTCTCCTTTTGAATAACGGCTCAGTGTTTCTTCTGCCCCAAAGAAACACAAAGTTATGTGTTAAAACGTCCTAGACTCTCTGATCGACAAAAAAAAAAGTAAAGTATATATTTAAGAAAAATCATTCCCGTGAATGAATGTCCTTAGTTTAAAGGTTGGGATTTTCAAAAAAAATGTTTTATTCTTCTCAAAATAAAGATTAAAGATTCATCATTGGTTTGTTTGACACATGAATTCACTCAGTGGCTCGAACTTCTGGTATTTCCTGCTTTTCAGCTTCACACCAACAGCGCTGTGGGACCCTCACAGACTATTTCCTGTCCTCAACAATACTACTGACAAAGAGTGAAAGTACCTTTGCCAGTAAGTCGTGTATATTTTAATACGTGAGACCAGACCAACCCCTGCCTCCATTCTGGGAACGGTCTTTAAAAAAAAAAAAAAAAAAAAAACTTGGAGAGAGATGAAATAAAATGACTAAAAGATGCGCCGAAACATGGGGAATTTCACCTTTTATATATTTTTAGGAGTTTCCGATTTTGTGGCCAACACCATAGTAACAGGATGTGTGTTTAAGGAACATGACCCTGTGACTTCACACTGACTGACAAAGGAACAAAACACTGTAGATATCTGCCTTACTGTTATTCTTAGGGGTTTCACAGCTTCTCGCTTTACTTACTGTCCAAACATAAAAACTCTGAGAAACGTGGGCACATACTTTTAAAACAATTTACATTTTGTCACAGCTGACAAATCGGTGAGATAAAATGCAGGTCAAGTCAGGAGGAGGAGCTCTCCAACAGTTGAAATGATGAGACGACGCATTAGGGAGAGGAACATGACTACTGACTCACAACTCAGTTAGGCCTTTGTTCCTCATTAGACATCATGAATGAATGCAATGGTAATATTTTGACTGGAGAGTAGAGATGATGCAACATAGATGATGAACCACAATCTAGACAATAATGCAGTATTATTCAGCACATATCATTTGTATAAGCTCCAGATAAAGTATATAGTTTTATATCTATAAGAAAAATAAGGGAAGTACAAATGCTTCTCCTTTTGAGAGACATTAATGTGATTTTTATTATGAAGCTACAATTAATAACAACAAATCGTTATGAGCCATTAACCCCCCCATAAATCGTCACTGGCTAGTAACCAAGCCCATCCTTTCACAGTAAAACATGGCACAGCTGTAGTCATTAAGTCATTTGCTCAGTATCTGACGTTTTCTCCAATTCATTGCACGAGACAAAAGCTTTTACTAAGATTTAAGTCCAAGTCTACTGGAGTAGGAGTCTTACTTGAGTCAGCATCTCGGTCTCGAACTTTATTAACCGGTTCAATAGTTTAACGTTAAGAAAATTTGTGTTTTGGTCATCACTCCCTGTGAGGTTACGACAAGGTGTTCGATGAGCTTCAGTGAGGAAAAACAAATTACAAACATGAGGGACAGGTGATGACCGCAAAGATATGAGTTCACTTCTGGGTGAATGTGGCTCTAGTTGCATCAATTGATTAGAACAACTTAGCAGGTGCTATTTAAAATTAGTTCTTTCACAAGGACCCTTGCTTGTCAAACAACAATGAGCTGAAATGAACAAAACTTAGACAGAAAACAAAGATAACTGAGGTATAACAACAACTGACTTCACCTAAAATAAACCCCTTAAGCTTCCTCACGTCAGTCATCTCTGGAATTTTGTTGTTTCTTTTTACATGTTTCCTTTGTTCTGAAAAAATCTGGGTAATTCCCACTTCGCTTCACTATCAACACAAACATTGTCAGAGGAAATGCTTCCTCTTATCATGCAGCAATGCTTGCTTGACAGAGTTGGCACAGTGAAATCCAGCAGATGGTGCTTTGTTGTACTTGTCGGACGGGAGCCACCTTGCGGTGTGAAACAATTTGCTCTTTTTCGCTTAGGTGAAGAAAGCAGTTTTTGTGTGTTTTATTAGTTTGTATAATAAGCATTGGTTTCCCACTTAAAAGAACTTGGTTACAGTATTTGATTTGCATAACTAGATAGGCAATCTGAAGACTGGAAAAAGTGCTTTATCACATGAATCAATCTGAAGTTACGTTGCATAAAATGTATGTTATGAAAAACTATTTTGCTACCCTCTTTGTTTTTGTGTGATGCTGCCTTTCCCACGAAAGCCATAGTTTCAGAAGATGCTGCATGAGCAATTTAATATAAATGTGCTGACAAACAAACAAATCTGCACATGTGTAAAGGCGCAGCACCAAGCATATTAATCATCCTCTGTTTTGAGCCTGGAGGAAATGGGAGCCATGGAAACCAAATACCAAGAGGAGAAAAATCTTTGCGCTTCTTGTCCAAGTTTCATCCCACTGGCGGTCGTACTAAACCTCACGAATCGCATGACAATAACAACATTCCTCATCTATGTGATATAGTCCAGCAGGAATTCCTCTTAAACAGAGGAATTTCTCAGGGCAAATACTTCACTGGATTAAAAACATCTGGTGCACCGTGCAAATCTGAAACAGAAATAATGTTGAAAATTGTACTATTGTTTTTCTCGTTCCGACGATATATGTGATAAGTGTTGGTCTGGGCTTGTGCAGTTTGTGCAGAACTACCTGATAGTGTTGAGAGTAGAGATTTTGTTGACAGAAAGAACTTGTAGCATTTAGGGACCTTTTAGGTAACAATAGCAAACAGAAAACAAAGATAAAGGCTTTTATAAAATTCTGGCTGCGGTAGTTACACTAGCGGTTCAAAGTCCATTGCCAGTATGCCTGTGTGAGTTTTGACCCTACTGCGTTGATGCTACAGAGAAACCCTGGAAGCGCTTGTTAATATGTGCTGGGGTGAAGCTTGGGTCAGAGAGAATCAACACATACCACAAAGCGTCTGTTTCTTTCAAACATTCCTGAAATAACTGTCATATGGGATGTGTTTTATTTATTTATTTATTTTAGCAAAAAATAAACATTTTCTGACAACCACAAAAACATATATTTCAGCATAGAAAGTTTTAAAAAATCTTGATTTTTTTTTTTTTTTTTTTTGTCATGTCTTGTCCAATAAAAGCCACAATCTTCAGACTTAATGAAACCAAACTTGAATATTTTATCCTTGCAAAATGCCATGTGTAAGAAAAAACTGAAACTGCATCATCTTGAACACACCATCCCTCGATGGCAATATAAGATCGGGGGTTAGAGGTTATAAAAAAAACTTTCGGCAGCACAAGAAACTTAAAGATGCAGCCAGAGATACAGTGTTTTAGATCAAAGCACTTTAATGTGTTTAAATGGCTTAGTCGAAAACCACAAATAAATCAAACTGGGACTCTGGAAAACTTTTGAAAATGTATTTTCAAGGTCCTCTCCATCCAATTGGAGTGTCTGATCTGAGACACTTTCCAAATATTTTCCTTCCACTTTACGACTCTGCAATACTCAATCACATCAAATCTTTCTGAAATGCATCCAGGTTTGTGGTAAGATGACAAAAATGTGTTAAAGTTGAAAGTTTTTTCAAAGGTCATATAATTAAAGATTATTGGCACAAGTACAGAAACACACAGAGAAAAGAGGGAAGGGGAAAAAAATGATGAGACAATTTAAAATTAAACTGCCAATCATAAAACATTTATTTCCAAATTAAAGTGGGAGAGAGACTGTAACTTATGAGTGACTATGCTGTTTGAATTCAATTACCCGGGGGTCAATTTATCATTCCTGTTTCTATATCCCTGAGTGCATAATTGTGTTTCACTTGTAGCATCCCTGGGAGTCTGGAAGAGGCCTGGAGATGCTGTGGAAGGCCCACTGCAACAGGCCGTCAATGGAGTTCGGCTGCCACAGAAAGAGCAGAAGAAGAAGAAGAAGAAAGATGAGATGTTGCGAGCACATATCCAGCTGTCGTTTCAAAATGATGCGTTCTTCAAGATCAACTGAACTGAACGGCAAATGCAGCCAGTTAATACCCGAGTCTAACATTCATCCCCAGTCGATCCTGCTGCTATGTAAATAATAAATCATTACTAAAGCTAAAGTCAAATCAGAATACACTTAAAGTACAGCAGAAATACAACATCAATCAGAGAAGAAGATAATGACTTTATTTTTTGCATCATTTGGTATGTTATCACTCTTACATCTCCCAAGATGGAGTCCAGCTCGTCCTTATCGATGACTGGTTCGGAGAAGGAAGTGCTCTGATCTTGACTGAATGAGTTCTGGACTGAAGGCGCAAGCTAAATACAAACCAGAAAGAGCACAACGATCACAATGCAGAATGTGCAGGCTTCTCTTCTCCTTTGTTTCTGTTGTAAAGGTGTGTAGACACACCTGCATGCCTCTGGGCTCGGTTTCTTTCTCTGCAGAGCTGCCCCATGGCCTAGAACAGGACAGGCAGACGGATCTTCCCCTTTGAAGCACACAGACATCGCGAGTGACTCAGACCGAAGTGTGTCAGGTTTCCTTCGATCAATATGTAATTTGAGGATTGCGGACAGGGAGCTTCAAACTGTTCCAAATCACCAAGCCAAACACAGTTCCAAAATCATTTCACATGTTAGTACATCAAGGTCTATGTGGAACTGGTTCATATGATCTGATTGATGTTAATTTTAAAACTAAAGCCAATATCAAAAAGGTAGTGCAACAAAAGTACAGGACATCTATCTTTCATTCATAATTAACATAATTTTCTGAAAGTACTGACCCTGAGTTACTACTGCAAAACACCATTTGTAATCCATTAGCCAGCACTTGGGAATTGACTCTACAAACACACTCTTAATGCAATACTGGTACAACTGATCAATACTAGCCTGAAAGAGAGGGAGCTCCAAGAAATTTCCTCTGCACAGTAACCAATCAATGGTTCTGAAAAATTAGGCACACGATCCCATTATGGGGTACGAAACACCAAATAAGGGATCTGAACACGAAACCAGGAGTCAAAATTATTGCTATCAGTGTATTTTGGCTTGAGTTATAAGAAGAAACAAACAATGGTTGCTACACAGCACCCTATAGTATTATCTCACACTGCAAATGTAAATTGATCCAATTTACATTTGCAGTGTGATTGATCTGTATAAATCTCTCCAATTGATTGGAGACATTCAAGGCTCTGTAAATCATAATAATTTTTGTATTATTTCATCCGACATATTTCTCATGTCACTGATAAAAAAAGAGTGGTTGTCTTACTTGGAAAAGTGGCAATGTGCATGGAAATGCTTTAAACACTGAAGGCAGTGAGTCAGATCTCCCCCAAGGTGGCAAACACCACACACCTCCCTCACGGCAACCATCTCTCCACCTGAGCACTGGACACACAGATCGCATTTGTAACGAGCAAGAGGCAGATCCAAAGGTGGAGGAAAGATAAAGTAAAACTCCTCACCTGGTTTTTGCCATTCGATGCTTTGACAGAGGCCGTGACACTCGTGAGGGAGGATGACAAAGTGGGGTAGAAAGAGTTGTCCAAGATGGAGTTATCGGTGTTTATGCTGGTTTGCTGAGGCTGAGTGGGGAGAACCTGAGTTGAAGAACAGAGCGCCGCCTTTAAGTTAAGCACTGACTGAAAGTGGACACATACAGACTGACATTATAAACATAATCATTGTTGATAATGAAAAATAGTATATAAAGTCCACCCGTATTCTTTTCAGACAGTGTTTAAATGTTATATTACAACAAAAGCCTTTACATACACACCTGGACAAGCTGTAGAGCATTTTCTTGTTTCACTCTAAGCCCACAGCACCACTCACACTGCCAAGAGCCGCTGTTAATTACAAAAATGCATTTTACTTTTAAAAGACTTTAACCAAATGCCTATGATCTAAAAGCTTCTCACATTTACCTCTGTAACCGTTTACCTCGGTATGGAAGTGAGTGGAGGGTTGAGGCAGGCGAGATGAAAAGCTCGAGGACAGCCGTCACAGCAAATCAGCTCCCCTCCATCCTTACACACTGCGCACTCATCGTCATTAGAGTGTATCTATACACACACCAACAAACACGTACAGCTGAGATCAGATGAGAAATAAAACAGCACCACTGACAACATTGATGGCTTACTATTATTGTGTTTGCCTCCCCCTGGTGGATAAACCTGGCACTCGCAGATTTAGACTTTTCGTGGGACTTCTCTGCTAAACTGTACGAGGGAAAACCTTCAGCGCCTTTGATGCACTTTCTGATGGAGCCTGTTTCAAGACAGCACCGTTTGCCTCAAATATCTTCTCATGTAGACAGAAAAAACAAACAAACAGTACATCTCGCTACCAATTTCTCACATTAAAAAAAAGAAAAACATGTTACCAGATGGTAATGTCTCCCAATGCCAGTAAGCATCAAAGTTTAAAAAGTAACAATGCCAGTTTTTCAATGTCTTACCATCCAGTACAGTACGCTCCTGTTTGATTTGTATGTTTTCTTTTTTATCCTGGCTGAATGGAAGATCTGAAGAGGACGAAGATGAAGAAGAGGAAAGGCCTACGCCTCTCTGAACAGAGGAAGATACCACCTGCAGACCTGTAGCAGATTTCTGATATATTTCTGACATGAAATAAAAGCAACGCAGGTTCATTTCAATCAAGAATATATTGTATTACTGTTTCCAGATGGTAGTTGCAGTGCTCCCGCTTCACTCTTCACTCTGTACAACTTGACTTTACTCACTGGTGCAAAGATCAGAAAATCTAAGTTACACTAGGTTTGTCAGTAAGTTTACTGTAAAAATGCTGTTGGATTAGAAACTGATTGGAGGGAAGTAAAGATGACCTGTTCCATCGCTCGTCTTCGCATGATACTCGGAATGCTGAACCTTGTCCTCATGGCTCCTCTTCTTGCTGTGAGAAGCCTTTACTCCTCCAGAAGATCTGTTTTCAACTTTGGACCGTGGAGCGTCCGGTCCTAAACGGACAGAATCAGCAGAATGAATGAGTCGGTCAAAGTCAGATGAGGTCAAGACGAGACTTTTATGAGAAGGAAATGTTTTCAAGGAAACTGGACTTCACAGACTGGTATTCAGGTTAGCGAGAAGTGCCTTTAGCTTGGGGTAGCTGTCCATGTTGTAGTCCTTGGATAAGTTGCTCCAGAAAGCCTGGAGAGTTGATCTGCTCTGCTCAATCAGCCATGAAAGAAGGGAGTACATGGCTTTGTGAATCCCCTCGCTCCCTTCCTTCTTTAGAGTATCCTAGAGAAAACAAAATGCTCTAGTATGTGGGTTTCAAAACACCGCATGGCAGATATACAGATTTATGTCACGGATAGAGCTGTACCGTCAAAATCTAAACCAAACAACTGAGTGTAGTTATCCACAAACACAGATATGTTTTTTTTCTTTTTAAGAATTTCACTTCTAAATAAAAGTTTGGACATATATTCCTGTCACTTACCTGCAGCTGTTGTTCTGTGATTATGTTTTTGTCTGCCAAGCCATACACAATAGGAAATGGGTCATCCACCGCCATCGCTATGTCAGTACGCAGCTCGCGCAGCAGAGAGCGAAGGTTGGCGTCCCTGAACACCTCCACTCTGGACATGATCTGCTTCAAGTGACAACAAGAACTTCAATGAGGAGCCGATCAGGCCTGAGGTCGTACATTCACCCCTCTGGAGGAGGCGTGTCCTATTCGAGGGACGAAATTTTGACAGGTGCGCCATTCAAGAACACCAGGAAATATTACGTATTGTACACCGTTTTCCATTTTCCTGTAAAAGTGCGTTTAATTTCTGTATTAGATACACATTTATTGGTCACAGTTGAAGTAAAATTGACATCCGTATGAGACCACAGACCTGGCGTACCAGAAGAAGACCGATTCCTTAGACCTCTGAGGAGTTTGGTTGTCCACCAACGACACCAACCGCCTTCATCCAGGGGAATACCTGTCCTCTTGCACCAGGAGAGCAAGGCGAGGCAACACGCTGTTTTACAATGACAGTTTCCCTCCTAAAAGGTTCTTTCCATCTCAACTTCCCCTCAACTATCAGGTTTGCAGACTCTGAGTCACCACAGAGAGCTCAGCATTAGTGTCATAATTATCACTTTCCAGTGAACTGGAAACAGCAAATCAGAACTGTAAACTATTAGCTGATGGATTACATGGGGGCTATGCTCATGGTCCAGCTGTTGCTCATGATTTAGGAGCTGGAGAGTACTTTATTTTTTTCTCAAACGAGACACAAAATGCCTGTGTAAATAGTGCTGTTGTAGATTTGTTTAAGTTGATATCTGGACTGATGAACACTAAGTTCAGCAGGTGATATGAAGCCTAATCTTTGTCTATCACTGTTAATTTGTTGATTTAATATAACTTTCTAGTGTTCACCTTGGTGATTTTTTAAAAGGGATTTATTATGTTTCCTTTATGGTCTGAGATAAGTTCTTTTGAATCATATCCATCCAAAAGTAAAAGTGAAGCTGCCTGTGTGTTTTTCTTTTTCTCTTTTGAAGTGAAAAAATATATTTAAAAATATCTTAAATGAATTCCTATGTGTCTCAAAATGCACGATTACAATTGCAAAAGTTGGACATTCTTTGATTGTGTTGGATACAATGTTGTTGTACTGGAGTATTGAAATGTTTGAGATGGTTAAAGCTAGAAAGGATTTTTGTCCTTCTTTAAAGGCCCATTGAAAGATTTTTCAGTTTTTTTTTCTTTTTTTTTTTTTGTAATGTGGAATTACAACAAATTGACTAGAGTTTAGTTGAAATAAACTTAATACAATTCAATTTAACTGCACTGGACTAAATCAAATTTCAGTTTACTTGAATGAATATGACTTGAGTTGAATGTGTATAACTAAAACAAACTGTATCAAAATGTATTGTTCTAGACTTAAACTGAATAAAATATGGTAAAAATGCAAGAATTTGTACCAAAATTAGCCGAGCTGAGGTGCACTGAAAAAACGTTAAATAAACCAATTATTTGGTTTATTTCATTGCAATCCATTAAACTGGCATGAATCCAGTTGCATTTAATTACTGTTCGTTGTTGAGCTGAACTTACCAGATCTGAATTAAAACATGAAAACAAAACTATTAAATGAATTGGTTATTTTTAATTTCCTTTAGCTATGAGTGTGTGGGGCTGCATAGTTTTTTTTGTTCTGTGTGACCCTATGATGGATTGGTTTGTTCGGGGGTTACTCCACCTCTCGACTAACGACCTCTTGACATTACCCACGTCTGTGCAAGAGTAAGCAGGTATAGAATATGGATGTCCTGAACTGAAGTATGTTTAAGTATAATCTCTCACCGGAAAAAAAAAAAACTCAAAAACTAAACAGACCTGTTTTAAATACTCTTTGGTAACCGTCGACATCAAAATGTTGAATCGACACTTTATTTAAATAGACAGCATGTTGAGGCCTGGAAGGTGTGCGATATCTTTGGTGTTCTGTTCAGTTTTATTTCTTTATTTGACAAATTTCTCCTAGGGAGGACACTAAAGTATATTCTATTCTATTCCATGCAACAAAATATATTCCAAAAATATAAATAATAAAAAGGAAATACGCCATTTTGCTACCAGGTGAATGTAGATGGTTAGGAGAGTGAAGCCCTTTAATCTGTTAATTTATTAATCATTAAACATTATTACATTATTCATACTGGTGAACAAGGACCACTTCTACAGAGGGACGTTCACAACATACATATTACATTATTATATACAGTGCAGTGCATTACAGTGGATTGTTATATGTGTATTACCGGGATGGGGGGACAGGGAGACTGAAAGGAGAGAGGCAGAGGGAGGAAAAGAGGAACGGCGGAGGGTAAACTGGAGGGACGGGGGGTTGTAACAGTAAGCTGTCTGTTTTATTAGCTCTTTTTTTAATTATTTCTTTTTTTTCTTACCACAGTACAGTTTGTTCTATAAAAGAGAAAGAGAGAGCAAAAGAGAGTGTGAAAGAGTGAGAGAGAGAGAAAGAGAGAGAGAAAGAAAGAGTGCCACATTTTCACAGCTACTGTTAGGTGAACCTACTGGTTGTTTGACCCTTGTGGGGGAATATCAAATGAGAGACGTTTTGTCATGAGATGCTATAGAGAGATGCTATAAAACATTCTAAGATGTTCTGCCTCCTTCCAGCGCACCGAGACCTTGGAGGGCAGGTCAAAGGTCAAAGAACAGATCAGCGTGCATGCGTGCTGCAGACATTCAGACGTGTTCGGCCGTCAGAAGAAACGGCCGGCCCTCCGACGTTTTCCCCCTTCCGTGTTTAGGCATCATTTTTGGTGCTTTCCCTTTTTATTTATAAAAAATACAAAACATAACAGCGAAAAGAACTCTGTTGGTCGCTCCGTTTTTCTCGGGGGTTTTTTTCTTTCTCACACTGTTTCTTCTTTAGTTGTTCCTCTTCAACGCAACATGTTTATTTATTTCTTTTTTTTTCTTTACCCTCTTCCTCCAGTCTTACATATTGACAAAGTATACAATATCTTACAACTGAACAAGACTGAAAGATAACATTTGATTTGTCCAATCAGATACAAGGTCTGGCTCCTATATCCAATTAGAGAAGTCAACTGGAAGCTAGCCAGTATAAAGCAACACAACAAAAGCCTATGATGTGAGGGCAGCCATCCAGAAACAGCTCTGCATTAACACGAACAGCCGCCCTCTGGGACAATGGGCTCTGCTGGTTTGTCCAGCTTGATGTCAATCACTGGGAAGGTTCCGTCAAGAAAAACACACTGGGACTCCTAGCATCAGCGTCAGATCTGTAATTCTCAGTGCACGTTCTTGTACAATAGAACGAAACGGTGAATGAACATACATCAAACACAGCATCTATTTTAAACTCTATTTCGTCAATTAATTGACATTATTCTCTAAGTGCCTCCTCCTCTCCTGCTGTCACTTTTCTGACAGCCACTATGTGGTGCCAAACCCCTGCACCAAGAGCCTCTTTCCTGGCTCTGTGCAGTCCTTGCCTCTCGGGCATAAATCGTTTAATGGCGGGTGCTTCCGTATAGACAGAAGGCTCGTCTGACTGTGTTTTTGCCAGCAGCCACTAAAAGATTAAAAATAAGCTTGCCGGCTTCTCAAGACGCTTGGCTCTCGAAACGGCGCATCAGAAAAGCTGTAAAGGATACTGCCTTCGGGGTTTGCATCGTCCAGACTTTCCATCCCAGGTAGGGCGGCCGCGACTCGACGGAACAGCTGGAAAGAGAAATAAAAACGTGAAAAATAAATAAATAAAAAAAAAATATATATATATATATTTAGGAATATATATATAATATATATTTATATATAGGAAAGGATATATATATAAAGGATATATAAAGGATATATAA